TGGCATGGGTTTTAAGCCCCCGGGTCCGGGACACGAACCGCGGTCGACTATGTGGGAGTCCAGCAACATAGCCATTATGCTAACTGCTGGTCCCCGGACCCACCAGCTTTAACCAGGCCTGCAGATAACCATTTCCAGACCAAGAAAACCTGCCAGTAGTATTTTGGAGACTTCGTGTGTGTGTGTGTGTGTGTGTGTGTGTGTGTGTGTGTGTGTGTGTGTGTGTTTTCCTGTTGTGAAAACAGTGAACACAGAAGGAAGACGTTCTGAACGGCAGCGCAGATTTCTCCCGGGCACGTCTGCTCCGAATAAAGCCATCTTCCCGGTCCTTGTATGTGAAGGGCACCGGCGTGTCACTGCGCTCTCCCTCAGGGCGGCTGTGACAGCGGCAATCCTCTGGCCCCCGTGACATTGCGAACCGAGGGCGCCCCGTCTCAGCTGCCCGTCCCCGCCCACAGAGCAGAGCAGGCCGCCGCACGCACCGTCTGAGACAGGCAAGAGTGCCTTGTGCACGTGGCTTTCTCCACAAATGCGTGCGGCTCTAGATAAGGGAAGGCCTAGGAAACAGATTTTTAGAGAAATGAAGGGTTTACCTAAAAATAGGATGAAATTCTGAGCACTTAGCATTACTCTATTCTAGCCCTTATCCTGAACCCAAGAGCATGAGAGAAAATTTTTAAAAAATACCTTTTTAAAGATAAAGTAAGTGATCACCATGACAACCGGAAGCAGCAAGGTCTTCGTATACCTCAGGGGGGTCTGAAATACAGCACGTCATGCAAACAGTTATTCTGGGCTGTCCATCCGACGAGCGCAACCCTGTGCCGGACGGGATGCTGCAGTGAAGCGTGCTGGGAGAGACGAGTGTGTGGGTGACGGGACACGCCACCGCACGCTCACAGGCGTCCACGTGTGGGTGACGGGACACGCCACCACACACTCACAGGTGTCCACGTGTGGGTGACGGGACACGTGTTGCCATTTACTCACCGACATCCACATTCTAATACGAGAATCAAGATCATAAGCAGCTACACCACGTATTCAAGATTTAACCTAAAATCTTTATTAAACAAGAATTAGCTGCACCTGTTCCTCGTTCCCTTTCAGTTTCACTTTTCCTGTATTATGTTTTAGAACGAGTGTTTGCTGACCCCCGGGCCCTAGCTTATCATTTCCTATGCTGCAAATCTGCAGTTTCCCTGGTGACGCGAGAGCCCAGGAAGCAAGCTGCATGGTCACACCGCAGGACGGACAGGGGACACCGTGCGCGCGAGCGTGAGCGGGCTGCTCCCGACCTCGCACTGTGACGGGGAGTGCTTTACTGTGCAGCGACACTGCACGATTCTCCAAAGCAGGAGCCGGGGTGGTCTCCAAACGGCCTTGCAGAAGTCAGAGGTCAACAACCGCGTCGGAGCGAACGGCTGACGTGGCGCGTGGGAAAGGGGCACGCACACGGCCGATCCGGAACGCGTAATTAGTGGGAGGGTGGCACAAGGGCAGCTCTGTCATGTTCTGTGAAGGGAAAACCGGGCAGACACACGAAGGAGCTGTGGGTTAGCAGTTCTCGGATCCCTGAGTCCTCCTTCTAATTCCTGCTCTCGTATGTACCTCAGGCGAATCCCCTGCGTGGGCACCTTTCCTGCAAATGCAGGAACCGTACGACCGGCCTGAGACCCCGTCCTGCTCTGCTGTTCCTGACTCCAGAGACGCGTTTTAGAGCTTTTCCTTTAAGGGTAACGTCACGCGTTTCCACAGCTCGGAACAAATTTACTATTTTCACTACAGAGCATCAGTAGTGCACCTTTCTGGGCAATACCTTGTTAAATGTTTTTATAATATTTAGGTTATTAAATGTGATAACACTGAATTTCTTCAAAGCAAAGCCAGAAATTTGGCTTTTTCCCCTGAATGACCCCATACCGCCAAGAGGGCTGGATTATGAAGGGGAGCCGAGCTTACTGCCGTAGCCGCTCTGGGGCACGCATCGAGCCATGCGCACTCTTCGGGGGGCTCAGCCGTCATCAGCAACTCCTTAAGACAAGCGCACTTACACTCACTCGACAGATACGGGAACAGGTGAGGATGGCCGTGGCATTGGGAAGCGTTCTCATAAAAGAACGATGTATCAGCTAAATACTTAGAGTAAAAATGTTGAGTTTCAGATTAGGAGACAGAGAAAACTCATCCTCCGTGTAGAGAGGGACAAAGCTGGGCAGTGGTCATACCGCTTTCTCCATGAAGTCAAACTCGGGCGCACAGGTGTAGACCAAGGTGTCGAAGTCGGTGTACCCGAGGATCCTAGCTGCTATGAGGTCACTCAGGCGGATCTGGAAGGAGGCGAAGTACAAGGCGTTGAGATTACACCGGCTCAACGTAAAAGCAGGAACGTCTGAGGAACAGGGGCTAAGACGCCCAGGCGTCCCCGAGGATACCCCCAAGGAATGCGCGGACGAGAAGCTGCGAACCAAATGCACCGTGCACTGGCTTCTTAGGAGAGCCGAGAGCAAGAGACCGGGAGCAGAAAGAGGCCAGACAGAAATCAGCAGGTAAGAGGGTAAAGGTCAGGCAAGATCAACATTTTCTGGGAAGGAACCACAGGTAATCATGCTCTTGTATATACCATCTCTCGCTGAAGAGGCTACTGCATTTCACCCCTTCCGTCACACGTTGGAAATGGCCATCAGATTTTCAGTATGTCGTCATTGCACAAAACCGACGACAATGTCTGCTACCTCCTGACAGTTCCCAGACATACACTGAAACCAGTAAATACGGCAGTGATTCCGCCCGAGAATCGGATGGCGTGGAGGTGAGGGTGGGTGCGGACCCCCCATGGCTGACTTTGCAGTTCCAGGCTTGGGCCAGTAGGCTTGAGAAACACGCCTGGCGTGTGTGCGTGTGTCCCCGAAATCCCAGGAAGAGAATGGAAGATAAGGGACTGAGGCGTGGCCATCCACGTGGGGGTGAGTTCTCACTTTCCCGCTCTCTTGTGGTCTCCGTCTCTGACAAGTGCACACACCGTAAAGAAAAAAATGAAGAAAAAATCTTAAAAAAGCATTACACAATGAAGCGTACTACTCTGAGTCAGTTACTTGTCCGTGAGGCTTTAAAAGTAAACACTACCAACCAAAAGCGACACCAAACTCCTATTTTCTTTTGAGTCTATACTATCTACTATGGGTGAGGCAATTATTTGACCAGAGAGGAACAGAGCAAGAGAGAGAGAGCGAGAGAGAGCGAGCGAGCTGCCTGGTCTGGGACTCGAACCGTCGTTGGTCATGTGGGAGTCCAGCGCCCTTTAATCACCACACCACTTGCCGGCCCTGGCAATTATTTTTCCACTGCATTCTCAGAAGGCCAGAAAAAGAAACATACTTGGCATGTGAAACCTTAATTCAAACGGCTTTATAGGACAGAAATGATTTTTATAACAAGGTGGATGCTTATCAGTGATCTCATTCACCCATGGCTCCTCTTCTCTACCGGCACCAAGGACGAATCAGAGGTGCGCTTTCTTTTTCTAACTCAGAGTGTGCCTGGTGATGACGCCACCACCATCGTCCGTCCCGCGGCAGTCCCTCAGGGCCCCAAGGCGTGCTCGTGTTCCTCTGCGGATTGGTCAGGCCGGGTGATGATGAGCAAGGGCAGGAAGCCCAGCACAGGCCGGCTTGGCACACAAGGCCTTCGTGAAGGTGGCCATCAAGGGCGGACTCTTACCAAACTGGACGCTAAGGACAGGACGGGGAAAATATGTCAGAAAATCTGCCAGGCCAGAGAAAGGCAGCAACGTGAACCTCGTAAGCCTCGTGCAAACCAGCCGGAAATGACACACCCACTCACACTTGGAAAGCTTAACGTGCGCGCCCACGCGTGTTAAATCCCACAGCAGGTTATTACGTCACATTGCTAAACAGACAGTGCTAGAGGTGGGAAGCAGGTCCCCGCGTCTTGTCCCACCCCTCGGTTCCGGGGGCTCCTCCTGGGAAGGGCCGTGACTCCGACAGCGACCGGAGACACCACCGTACAGGACAGAGCTGCCCGGCCTTCCAGAGCGGGGACAGAACTTCTAAGGTTCTCTTTTAACATAACAAGAAAAGCCCTAAACATACCAAATTACCGCTTAACTTTCTAGTTATAGTGAAGCTAAATAGAGATTTCAAGAATTCCATCTTTCAAAACCAAGTACAGACTGCTCATATGTAACTGTTGCAAGAAATGGATAACATTTTTAAAACATGATTATTTATATTTTAACTGAAATGTGAGCAAATAACTAAAAAAGACCAGCTTTTCCCCTTAGAAACATCAGCACTTGCCACCAATCTT